GTTTCAACTACCGGTTCACGAGTACTTTGATATTGATATTTTTCAAGGTATTGAGGTTAGAAATTACTGTATCATGACCACTAATTCACGTACTTTGTCAATAAGATAAAAGTGGGTTTTGTTCAAAGTAGCTATTATCCACATAGATCTTTGATATGAATGAATATTTTTTGGTAATTCATTAAATATTGCAGACTAAAGAGTAACTAGTGACTAGTACTCTGAGTGGTTTTTGAGAGGAGTACTTTGTACTTTTACTTGAGTACTGTTTTTTTGTAGTACTCTTACTTGTAATTGAGTATTATTTCAGCAATGTAACAGTACTTGTACTTAAGTACAAATTTTCAGTACTCTTTCCACCACTGGTGAAACGGCATCAAATGTCTGTTTTGTTGGCATTCGGCGCCCAAGTGCTCGTCACTCTTTAGCTCCGCCCACGGCGCGCCTCCAGGAGCTCGGCTTTTTCCGGAGAGAATGGTAAAGCTGTATCTTTCTTTTATAAATATGATAAAACTAAAGACTTTTTGGAGATATGAAGGATGCAGTACTACTCTATAGGTACTCAAGATTAACATGAGATTGGGTGAAACTGTGTGTGTTATGCCCCCTTTAAAAATGTAATGCAACAGTTACATTTAAAGTTGGGATGAAATTGTTTTACAGTGTACATTCTTAAAAAGAAATGTTATTTATATGCTTCCATGGACACTTTCCATTGTACAAAAGTTCTTTATAGATAATTAACATATTAATAACACTAAGAAAAAATGTTTCATTTAAGAACTGTTTACTGAAAGATTCTTTGGGGAACCAAAAATGATGGTTCTATGGTTTTGCTGTGAAACCCTCCTTGTGTAATCTTTATTTTTAAGAGTGTAGTTACACTCCTTACCAGTTGTATAAGGCTGGCTGTTGTTCTGTCCGCAGTTCTTCATTTTGACAGGCGACAGACAGAGAGGTTTGACCACTTTGTGTGTGCCTTCACACCAGTATGAGGTACAGAAGGCCAAAACAGAGAGCGCTAGGGCCAGAGAGGTCAGCGAGAGAGACAGCAATGACCGATTCCTGCGGGACAAATGCTCCAACATGGTGGAATGATACAGACAGGACCTGATACTGCAATTAACAAAGAAAAGACAACATTCAGGTACAAAGAAAGCAGCTTTGTATGCATATCCACTTACAGATGAATGTAAAGTTAGAATTTGAGTAAAGATGGGGCAAGGGAAAGGGAACAGCGATCAATATGTGGGCAGTTGTATAGGGAAGTAAGATTACTAAGCCTAATGATTGAAGCAACCATCCAATGTCAAAATGTCAAAAGTCAGATAGGAGGAGTTTAAATGAGCGGAAACAAATAGAAATTGAAGATGCAAAGGCAGAATTAAAGGTCAGTGGAAGTGAGATGATGAGCAGAGGATTTAAAGGAAATTAGACAGATGTGAGCATGTGAAAATACACTTGCCGATACCTTAGGTTTCCATATAAAAATGTAGTTGGTGAAATGCAGAAATGGCTCAGAATGTGTTAAAACATGTTTCCTTGGTCTACGACCAACAAATGTGGCCAAAACGTCCTCAAAGTCAATGGAAATGAGGCTGACGATCACAAATGTTCATGCTGAATATTCAGAGGTGTCTCTCAGATGTATGTTCTTTAGTTCAGCACAGAGATGAAATTGGTCTTAAGTCATGCAGTCCATCAAGAACAACCTTGTTCTTCTTTTTGATTTTGCCCATCTCTCACCTGGTCTCTTTCTTGGAGAGATTACAATTTTCTGAGAGTTTTGTACTTATTCCATGTCTTAATCACCAACATCCATTTCTTTGTAATCCTTCATGATCTCTGTTAATCTTTGGGAGAAAGGTACATCTGTCTCTCCTGGTACGTCCAGAGCCCCCAGACACCTGAGCAACAAACCATATTATCAAGACAGATTAAGTATTATGAAGTAGATTTAAATGTAGATCTTTGTGTCTGATCTATAAATGCAATAATAATTTAAATATTATAATTTAAATGCCAATTAAATATCAATTTATTATTCACATTATTACAAAATTCTATATGCCAATGGCCTGGTCATGCCTGCGGCTGACAAAAAACCTGGGAAAGTTGAAAGTGCAAACAAAAAGGGATGGTGGGTGATGGGGAGGGAGGGAGAAAGGAAGTGGATAGCATATAGAAGCAGGGATAAAGAAGGTTGAGATGGGATCTACATCAACTACGTACAGGTTATGTTCCACATGACTATATGAACTCTAGGCTTGAAAAATACTGCGTCACAAACACTCAAAAATAAACAGCTACTATACAATGTGTCTCTCTCTCTCTCTCTTTCTCAGTTGCTCTTATTGTCAATGTCTCTCTCTTTCTCTCTCAGCCCTCCTTACCCGGGGCTTTTTGTGTGGGGATGGCGTTGAGAGGGGGCTGTTTAGGTTTGGACTTGACTGACATAAGAGAGTCCAAGTCCACCAATGAAGCACCTTCTCCGAGGAAGGACGCTGGCTTTTTAGTCTCATCAGCAGTGTTTGTAGCAGTGTCACCTATTGATAGAAAAAAAAAAGTAAGGCAAAAATCTAAATGACCTTGTGCTATTGAAACAAGAGAAAGCCGTTTAAATGAGCCTTGCTTTTGGAAAAACAGTTTTTAATTTTATTTTGATATTATACATTACCTTGTTAGGTTTGGAGTCAGTAAGATTTTTTCTAATAACTGAATACTTTTATTCTGCAAGGATGCAATAAATGTATTAAAAGTGACAGTAAAGACATTTATAATGTTACAAAAGATTTTTATTTTAAAATAACCGCTGTAAAGAACAAAATGAGATGAAAGTTAATCACAACAACAGTTTGTTCTTTTTTTTTTGTGTGCTAGATATTCTGTGATGTAAAATCTGAAATTGGATAGAACTCAAAGAGGAATTTTAAACATAGAAAGGTATCTTGTTTAAAAGTGTATCAAACAACCTCTTCAACAGATTCAACTACTTGAACATTGCAGACTTTGTAAAATCTCAGCAAGTAGATCAGATGGCAGCTTGAGATTTTGAGATTTTAGTTCAAAATTGACCATGAAAAATATGATTTGAGACTGCAGAAACGAACAGAAAAAGAAACCTGTTCCAAAAGTACCATTCTCAGAGGAACCACCCCAAGGATCTGGTCTGCCTCCATCACCGAAAAGGTCATCAGTTGGAGCTGATGGGGCACCCCAGGGGTCAGTCGCAGCAGGGGGTGAAGATGCTGGGAGTAAGTAATACAATGATTAGATTTTTTAGAAAAAAACATTTTTTGACATACAACAACGCCTTCTCAAAATACTGTTTCATTCATGTTGTAATCTACATTTACACTACCATTCAAAAGTTTGTGGTCTGTAAGATTTTATAATGTTTTTAAAAGAAGTCTCTTATGCTCACCAAGGCTGCATTATTATTATTATTATTATATATTTAAAAAAAAATGAAAAATAGTGTAAAAAATGTTAATATTGTGAAATATTAATACAATTCAAAATATCTGTAATTGATTTTAATGTATTTTGTAAAGTAATTTATTCCTGTGATGGCAAAGCTGAATTTTCAGCATCATTACTCCAGTCTTCAGTGTCACATGATATGTCTAATATGCTGATTTGGTTCTCAAGAATTACATTATCAAATGTTAAAAACAGTTGTGCTGCTTAATATTTTTGTGGAAACCATGATAGTTTTTTTTCAGGATTCATTGATAAATAGAAAGATCAACAGAACAACATTAATTTGAAATGAATATTTTGTAACAATTTTGCCCAATTTAATGTGTTCTTGCTGAATAAAAGTATACATTTATATAAAAAAAAAAATCTTACTGACCCCAAACTTTAGCACGATGGTTTAAATTCACTACATTTTGAAGTAATTCTCAGTCAGACAATAAAAAAAACTCATTATTAGAGGACACTGAGGTGTGTTGTACCTCTCTGGTTCTTCAGTCCAGTCACTCTCTTACCTGCTGTGCCCCAATGGTCATTATCTGCTTTTGAACCATCACCAAATGGATCAGATGTAGCTGATGATGCTTCTAACGGCGCCCCCCAGGGGTCAGAGGTTGCAGGTGCTGAATTCTGTATACTATCCGCAGGTGCCCCCCAAGGATCTGACACTGCTGCATCAGAGTCTTTTGCCATTTCAGCTGGAGCCCCCCAAGGATCGTTTGTTGACGGGGCTTTATCCTCTGAAAATCCAGCAGAGTTGCCCCATGGGTCACTCGCAGCAGATGGAGAACTTTTCTCTACATTCGTAGATCCTCCCCAAGGATCACTGGAAGCAGGTGGAGAATCATTCTTGGCACTGGCAGATCGTCCCCATGGATCACTGGATGCAGGTGCAGATCCGTTTGTCCCATCAGAAGATTCACCCCAAGGATCATTGGTAGCTAGACTGGATTCCTTTGAATCATCAGACGGTGGCCCCCAAGGGTCATTGGTAGCAGGGGTGGATTCGTTGGATGCATCAGATGGGGCTCCCCAGGGGTCCGAGTTGGATGGAGGCTCTGCTGTTGCTGCTTTTTCCCAAAGATCTGGCTCGGTGTCACCCTCCTTAGCCTGAATCCACAAATTTCCATTATATCAGCTTGGACAGTCTGATAATACTTAATAGTCAGATAATGTGATCATATTCAACATGACTCTAATGAAGTTTCCATCTCTCTCACCCGTCTCTCTGCCTCTTTCCTTTCGGCCTCCAGACGTCTCTGCTCCTCCTTCTTCTTGGCCATGGCGGCGGTCAGGTCAGCCACAGATGGGATGTTGTCCAGGGAAGGCAGCCCTGTATACGGCGGGATCTCTGCTTTTTCTTTATCTGGTCCTGTAGCGGAGGACGCTGAGATAAAATATGAGAGAAAAAAAATTAAATCATAAATAAAAAAAGAACAAAAAAACACTACCATTCAAAAGTTTGTGGTGTGAAATAAAAAATGTTGAAAATATTTTTTTTTAAACAATAAAGACATTTTTGATGTTACAAAATACTTTCAAACTAATTTCTTTTTAACTTTCCATTCATCAAAGAATCCTGAAAAAAAAAAAATTTCTAAATTATTTGTGGGATATTCAGAGTATTTCCGATATCATACTTGGCCAAGTCACGTCACTTTTTTAAAAAAATTTTTTTTATAAATTACATTTTAAAATATATTCAAATAGAAAACACCTATATTAAATTGTACTATTATTTCATAATATTAGTTTTAATCAAAGAATAAGAGCATAAGAGACTTGAAAACATAAAAAAAAACAAAACCAAAAATTTTACTTTTGAATGGTAGTGTATATATTTAGAATTTCTATGTTACAAATGTGAATGCGTGTAAAACAAATAAAGAGACCAAAACACTATAGCAGGCCTACAGACTTTCTAAATTAGAAGGTTCAAAAAGAAATACAACAGAAGTGGGTGGTTAATATAGTAGATTTAACTTGTTTATGTGTTCTGGTAACAATTTGTGTGTCACTTTCTTGGTGCTTCTTATGTCCTTTTTGGAGGTTTCCACTTCAAAAGTGGACATTTTCCAACTTTCTACCCACTTACATTATATGGAACAGTCTTGACAACCTTGAGTAAATCATGAAAGAATTTTCATTTTAGGGTGCACTGTCTCTTTAATTATATTTAACATGCAAAATAAGTTGTAAACCCCCAAAAATAAGTCTTACCACTGGGAGCCTTTGTCAGCTTGTCTTTTGTCTTCATAGCAAAATCTCTCTCCTCTTTCCGCTTTTCCTCATCCTCAATCAGCACCAACACTATCTTAGCCTTTTCTCTCACATTCACCCCCTACAAAGTGTAAATCCATTAGTGGCAAGCTTTCAGACCTTTCTCCTCTATTATTAATGTAATGGGTGTAAAAAAAAAAAATCGAATATTTTGCAGTACCTGGTCCTTTCCATCCTTGTCTGTGAAGCGGTATTCTGTTAGGGCTTTGAAAATGTGAATGTTCTCCACACTCTGCTGAGGGATGCGCTCAGACCCCGTTTTCAACAGATATTCAAGAAGGGTTAAAGACTGTAGAAGAAGAAAAGAGAAAACATGATCCGTCAGGTGTTTTGACAATCCTTAATACATACAAGTTTGGGGTCAGTAAGTTTTTGAGGGAAATCTCTTATGCTGAACAAGGCTGATCAAAAACTAATAGTGTGAAATATTACTACACTTTAAAATAACTGTTTTCTATTTTAATATATTTTAAAATGTCATTTATTCCTGTGATGGCAAAGCTGAATTTCCAGCAGCCAGTCTTCAGTGTCACATTATTCTTCAGAAATCATTGTAATATGATGATTTGCTGCTCAAGAAACCATGATACATTTGAATAGAAAGTTTTAAAGAACAGAATTTTTACTAAATTTTTAAGTCTTTACTGTGACTTTTGATCAATTTAAATGTAAATCTTACTGGCCTGGTAATACTATTTTACCACTTATATTGTTTAAAGGGTGTTTTATTATTATTGTTGTTTTAAATACTACTACTACTAATAATAATAATGAAAATAATACATATTAAAGGGTGTTACTAGGGTGTTTTGGACCAAGTAATTCTATGGGATGTTTGACTAGCAAACATGATTAAATATAAAGTGTAACTCAATCTCTCTTTCTACATCTTTCTCTCTCAATAATACAACAACAGCCATAAGTACATAACAGAGGAAGAAACATCATGGCAGTGAAGCTGAATGGAAAATCCTGCCTGCACATAATCAAACACTGCAGTGGCAGCAGCAACGGTCCTGCTGTGCTGACAGGAAAAAGCCAGCCACTGATCAGGTAACATGATCAGCTGCGCGATAGAGTCACATAAACGATCACTTGCTATAAATATTCAATCAGTCTGAGCAGGCAAGCAAGCAAAGAATCTGGTTCCTTAAACCTGGAGACTGTTCTCTTCAGTTCTCTCCTTCGCTCACCTTGTACACGTGCCTCCAATTCTTGTCATCATTGAGACGCTTCCAGAGCATGCCCAAAATCTCGTTACAGGCCACCACATTGTAGGTTAGATCCGAGATGTCAGCCATCTGGGAGCTCGATGGCCCCCAGGGGTCATTAGAAGTCGCTTCTCGAACCTACACAACATATCCAACACGGAAATACTGCTTTATATACTAGTTTTAAAAGCACAATAGGCAGTATATGACTAATTAAATCTGATAAATATAAGTGACAAAAGTAATGCACTAGTCTCACCTTGAAACTTGAACAGGGTCGACTTAAGGGAGATGATAAAAGACTGAGAATAAACTCTGTGATAAAAAGGCAAGTGAAACTCACCTTGACCTCTGCCTCAGAGAAGTTCTGAACAAGATTTTTCAGTTGTCGTCGCAGCATTGAGTGAGTCATGATGGTCGTTTTGTCCTAGACCTTTTTAAGAAAGCCATTTTTGAAAAACTTGCACATTATATTCTATGACACATATGATCCTAAAAACTGCTGCTTTTATATCACATAACAGAATCATTGTTTGATAACTTTGATAACTAGGAAACAGAGCCTTTATAATATGGCATCCAGCACTATTGTTTCTGGTATTAATCAATTTATAATAGAAGGTATACATATAATAGAAGGTATGTCAGAGCAGTCAGATAATATTTATCCAATAATAATAGGAGAATTATACTATTATAGTATTTATTAATTTTATTTTATTTTTTAAAGATTTTCCGTTTTTATTTTAATTTTAGTTACATTTTTAGTAATTTTGCGTTATGATTTTGTAATTTGTATCTTTAATATTTTATTTCAGTTTTAGTTTTAGTTATTTTAGTCTATCAAGTTAAACTAAATGAAAATGAGAAAGGTTGCCTTGGAAACTATAAGAAATAAAATAAGCTTAATTTATATATGATCAGAACTTATGATATACATCTGCTATTATGGATAGGTTATTAATGAAACACACAAGCAAACAAATTTAAAAGGATATGCAATGTCATTTTTTCTTTTTTTTTTGCTCCACTTACCTGATAAATAAAGGATGTAGGAATGGTTGTTGACTGAATTGCTCAAATTGCTGACAGTCACTTCAGTCCATCAGCTTTTCCCTATGTGGACTTTATGGCCTATAAATCATAAACACGAGGACAAACTCTGTAACTAGCTGCTGTTTTAAAGAAAGAGTTCACCCAAAAATGAACATCTGTCAACCTTTGTAGAAATATATAAATATATATTCAATTCAATTCAAGTTTATTTGTACAGCGCTTTTCACGATACAAATCATTGCAAAGCAACTTTACAGCAAATTAAGTATATATATATATAAATATATATGTGCAATACCACTTATATTCATTTGACACTACCCTACATCTATCTATAGCACACCTGTACATACAATTTATTCTTTTTTTGTGGTTTACATTTATGCATGTGTATTTTATTCACATCTTATTTTTATTATCTGTGTGTTGTTGTTGTCTCTGTGTACTGGAAGCTTGTGACACTATAACAAATTCCTTGTATGTGCAAACATACTTGGCAATAAAGCGCTTTCTGATTCTGATTCTATTCCATTTAATCTACATAGCACACCTGTACACACAATTTTGTATATTTTTTGTTTACACACACACACATATATGTATATTTTATTCACATATGTTTTTTATTTATTTATCTGTGTTATTGTTGTCTCTGTGTACTGGAAGCTTCTGTCACCAAAACTAATTCCTTGTATGTGCAAACATACTTGACAATAAAGCTTTTTCTGATTCTGATTCTATATATTATTTATATGCTACTCTCTGGTATTTACAACAGTATTTTACATTTGTAATAGCTATAGAAGACTTTTGTAACAGCAACATCAACAGCCAACAACTTTTCAAACAGCATCATCCTGCCATCAAAATAATGCTTGATTTTATGCTATTTTCAGAAGCAATCCAGCCTGCGCTGTTAATATTTGCCAAATGCTCTGTGATCCAAATGCTGATTGATTTATTTAGCAGTAGGGCAGATAGACATATTACCAATGCTGCAGACACCAACCAAACACCTATCAGGTTATGTGTGCTTAAAAGCATCCTATGATGACAATCACTATACCAGACACGAAAATACAGCACTAGTGCGCTGTCATATACAATAAACTGCGATAATGTCGCATCATACAGTATTTTACATTTGTAATAGCTATAGAAGACTTTTGTAACAGCAACATCAACAGCCAACAACTTTTCAAACAGCATCATCCTGCCATCAAAATAATGCTTGATTTTATTCTATTTTCAGAAGCAATCCAGCCTGCGCTGTTAATATTTGCCAAATGCTCTGTGATCCAAATGCTGATTGATTTATTTAGCAGTAGGGCAGATAGACATATTACCAATGCTGCAGACACCAAACACCTATCAGGTTATGTGTGCTTAAAAGCATCATATGATGACAATCACTATACCAGACACGAAAATACAGCACTAGTGCGCTGTCATATACAATAAACTGCGATAATGTCGCATCATACAAGTCTGCAAGACCTGCAAAAGCTGATTTTGGTTTGGTGAATGAAGAGCCATCGCCTTAAAAACAGGAGGATAATAATGCATGATTATACATTGCGCCTTAGCTAAAGGTTTACATAGAACATCGCTTCTTACGTCAGCTCAAGGACACATTTTCTGACTGATGGATACAAAAAAAAAAAAAATATATATATATATATTATTATTTTTTAAATATACCAACCTTTTGGGAGAATGAACGGGAGAGAAGCTGAAAGGCTTTTCCAGATTCTAGCGGAAATTTCCGCTTCCGTTTACGGCTACCTGTCAAAAAACGAACACAAGCCTCTTACTGAATATTCATGAGATGGGAGTGACGATGTGCAAAGCATGTAACGCACTTATCCGCTGGTTAGAGAATATGTATGAGTGGGCGTGGCTTTGTGGTTTACGTTGAAACCGAGACCCACAATTGTAAACAAACCTGCCGGATTTTTTTTTTTTTTGCATTTAAGCACTTAGCAAATAAATAATAGACAATAAACAAATAAAATATAAATTATGAATTTAAAGAGTTCGTCAAATCTTCTTAAATTATGAATTTAAAGAGTTCGTCAAATCTTCTACTTGGTCTATTGAAATGCCAAGTGGACACGAACAGGCGATGACAAGACAATCTCTGGACAAATCCGCTAATCCCAACATCATGGTTGCGAATGCACTGAGCCCGGTTTCCATAACAATGAGTCGATCCATACACCCTCAGATCTGATGACGCGTGATTCTCAAGCTCGTGCCTGAGGCATCACTGACGTCACTGACGCTCCAGTGCCTGTGGAAGCGGCTGGCCCGCAATAACAAATTGGATGAAGACAGAAATATTGCTCACATCCACTGAAATCAGTTCAAGATGGCGTCCGAGGTGGAATACGAGTCGATTCTGTGCGTGAAACCAGATGTCAATGTTTACCGCATCCCGCCGCGGGCGTCGAATCGCGGATACAGGTAAATTAAAGGATATGCGGGCCTCAGCCCATGGCAGGTGTCTGTTCTGTAAATAATGTTGGAATACCATTTTGTCTTGGTTGTATCAGCACTATACTGCAATTATAGCATTTTTATTATTATGCGCATTGTGGCGCAGAGACAGTGTATTGTCATTGGTTTATCATACAGTTCTGCTGATAGAAAGAAAAACACCATGTGATGTCAGATACTTGGTGTGTTTGTCTACGAGCTCACGACTCAACCTTAATAGGAATTGGTCTAGAATAAGCAAATGAAAATTGTATTACACTTAGGAATTATTTCATGCCATTTTCATGCAATTGAAGTGCATAGAGCATTTATCATTTGCATTATTCTGTTTATATATAATATGTTATTGTGTTTATGTGACGTGTGTTTTCAGGGTCGTATATGTGGTCCAGTTTATATAGTGTATAATTAGCCCTAAAAACTCTTGCCCACAGAGAATGTGATAATTCACTGGCACACATTTTAGAGGAGAAATCCCAGTTGTATTCCTTCATGAGGAGCTTGAAGGCTTGTAATAGTTCTGAAAATTGCAATAATACTGCTGGATTTGCCATAAACTGTGGAAAGGTGTTAAATGCCACTGTTCTGGTCATTTTCAATAGTCATTGACCAGAAAATGTTTTCTGGTGAAAATTACCAGAAAATAACAAGAAGATCGGAACAGAAGACATTTAACCCCTTTCCAGACATTTTAATTAGAAAGTACAAGATCAGAAGGAAAAAAAAGAAACCTGGATCAACAGAAAGATCAATAGAGGAGAAATCCCAGTTGTATTCCTTCATGAGGAGCTTGAAGGCTTGTAATAGTTCTGAAAATTGCAATAATACTGCTGGATTTGCCATAAACTGTGGAAAGGTGTTAAATGCCACTGTCTTCTGGTCATTTTCAATAGTCATTGATCAGAAAATGTTTTCTGGTGAAAATGACTAGAAAATAACAAGAAGATCGGAACAGAAGACATTTAACCCCTTTCCAGACATTTTAATTAGAAAGTACAAGATCAGAAGGAAAAAAAAGAAACCTGGATCAACAGAAAGATCAATAACATGCATTTAGAAAACAGGTAGGGTGATAATTCATAATCAGTATTATTTTTGTGACAATCACTTTTTTTTACTCATTGCTGTGATGTATCCGAATGTTTGTCTACACCAGAAAATAATTTCTTATTTTTGTTGTTAATCTCATCCAAAAAAATCTTTCCATATTAAAAAAAAAAAAAAAAACATCTACAGTTGTGAAAAACACTTAATTTGATGGATTTGAAATTACATTTCTGCTGTGATAATGGCAGGGCGGCTGACTGGAAGTTAGACACTCCTGACTGGACAGGCCGTATGCGCATAACAGCAAAGGGGAAGGTGGCTTATATCAAATTGGAGGACAAAGTCTCAGGTTAGAAATCTGCATATTGATCCAAACAAACAAAAAATGACCTGAATGTTTGATTGGATGACTCTCAAAGACATTTGAGCAGCAAAAGAAGCTCTTAGTTGTCCCCTTTTTAAATCATTGTTCTCAGGTGAGCTGTTTGCTCAAGCGCCTGTAGAGGAATTCCCTGGCATTGCAGTGGAGACAGTCAGCGATTCCAGCCGCTATTTTGTTCTCCGAATACAGGATGACAATGGTTAGTGTATCATCTTTAAACTGACCTTATTTTGCATGCCCTGTCATAATGGAATGTCTCGCAAATAAGTTATACTTCACTTCTATGTTACGGTGTAGACATGCATTATCCTTGCCTGTATTTTAGGTCGGAGTGCATTCATTGGTGTTGGGTTTGGAGACAGAGGTGATTCTTTTGACTTCAATGTAGCACTGCAGGATCATTTCAAGTAAGTTTCCATCAAAAATGTTTATGACTGGAAATGCTTTTGTATTTGTAGTGACATCTTGGATGCAGATGGATGTTTTTAGTTTTTTTGGGGGGCATAATAAGCAATGCTAGTATGTACACTCTTTAAAAAAGGTTCCAAAAGTTTTTTTTTGCAATGATGCCATAGAAGAACCATTTTTGGTTCCCCAAAGAACCTTTCAGTGAACAGTTCTTAACAGAACAATTTTTTCTTAGTCTGAAGAACATTTGAAAAATCTCAAAAACATTTTTCCACTATCCACCTTTTACTGAGTTACCAATGAGCACTGCCATGATGGATTCTAACTTCCATTTGGATGCTGTCGTGTTCCGGTCTCCATAGAAATCCATGTTAAAACGGGGAAAAACGATGGACTGAATTAATTAAACTGAAACTTTTGCAGTGTAACTAAATATAAAAATGTGCACAGGGTTAAGCTGTGCTGTTGTTGGCTGCCACAGTAACAGTAATAAACTTAAGGAATTCCTGTAAAGTACTTCTTTTGGGCACCAGCAAATCTGTCCGTGTCTGACGCTGTATGCGTTGCATTCTATGTCAAACGCTGACAAGAGAAAACGAGCATGGCTTGCAGCGTCTAAGTTAAAATACTGTGTGTAAAATAATAAAATAATGTGTGCTCTTATCATTTTGTGGACAGTCCCCCGAGTGTATGTAGGAAATGTGCCCTCAATTTGTTTTAAATGCAGCTAACCTCGGGGCGCTTCATGTCATCTACCCTCTCATTAAGGTTTGACAGGTGAATTACTGCAAAAGTCAGTCACTGCGACACTCTAAGTGTAAAGTGAAACCATTTTCATAGGTTTAACGTTATTTTATTAGCTCGGAAAATTTAACTAGAACTTAATTTGACTAGAAACACCAGACACCGAAAATGTAAAGCATTGTTCCAGTATGAGTTAGTCGAGACTTCCGCGTTCAGGGAAAAGGTGGATAAAGAAACTTTTGTGGAATGGAAAGTTTCTATGAATGTTAAAGGTTCATCATGGAACTACCAGTGCCAATAATGAACCTTTATCTTTTGTGTATAGTTTTTGATATTTTTTTTCTTAACTTTCCTTCTCTCTTTCTGTAAGGTGGGTGAAACAGGAGAATGAGATCAAAAGTTCTCAGGCTGCAGACTCAGGACCCAAACTGGATCTAGGCTTCAAAGAGGGACAGACCATCACACTGAATATTGGGGTAAAACTAAACTAAAATGCAAAACAGCTGAAAACTGCTTTTGGAATTAGAAAAATCAGATTATGGCCTTATAATCTAGCATCACTACATTTTCAGAAGAATATACAGTGATTTTTCATGCCCTCATATCATAAGTAAACATGAGTTTGTGTTAAATTAGAGAAATGTTTTTTGTATTTAGCAAGGTAAAAAGAGGGACAAGCCCCGCCCGCAGAGCTCAGGAGGCTTGGGGCTCCTCCCTCCACCTCCAGGAGGAAAGATAGCCCCTCCTCCTCCATCCAATCACAACACAGTACAGCCATCAGGAGGAGCACAAACAGGTACATCATTTGACCCAATTACTGCTTAAATATACACTAAAACATCCTCTTTTCTTTGATTTACTTTTGATTTTTGATTTTACATTTACAGAATTTATGTATATATATATATGTATATTCTGTAAATGTAAAATATGAATTCTGACCATGTATTTGGAATTGTTCACCCATTTACTCCAGTTAGTGATTTTGTAGATGGGTTTGTTTTGTCATTGGAACAGATTTTGAGAAATTCAGCATTACATGTTTTCTCACAAATTGATCCTCTGCAGTGAATGGGTGCCATCAGAATGATAGTCCAAACAGCTGATAACACCATCACAATAATCCAAAAGTAATCCAAGCAACTCCAGTCCATCAATTAATGTCTTGTAAAGTGAAAAAAATCAATCATTAAAAACTTTAACATCTAGGCTAAAATATGACTCCTCTATCCATAATATTGCTTATTGGAGACACCCTAATGATAGCTTTGTTTCTTACAATCAAGCTTGTCAGTTGTTTGGACTCTCATTCTGACGGCACCCGTTCACTGCAGAGTATCCATTTGTGAGCAAGTGATGCAATGCTACATTTCTCCAAATCTGTTCCAATAAAGAAACAAACTTATCTACATCTTGGATGGCCTGTGGGTGACATTCAGCCATTTCTCATTTTTGGATGAACTATTCCTTTAAAGGGTTAGTTCACCCAAAAATGAAAATTCTGTCATTAATTACTCACCCTCATGTCGTTCTAAACCCGTAAGACCTCCGTTCATCTTCAGAACACAAATGAAGATATTTTTGATTAATTCTGAGAGCTCTCTGACCCTCCCATAGACAGCAATGTAATTAACAGCAATGTAGCTTCGTAAAATTACGGTTGAACCCAGATGTCACATGGATTATTTTACCGATCTCCTT